GGTCATTAGCTTGACCCATTTTCACCAGGTAATTTAAAGCGAGAGTTAAAGAGAAGTACCTGACCTCCAAGTGCAGAATCTCGTTTAGAGATTTCCTTTTCATGTAGTTGTTTAGTGAGTGGCACATATTTGAGTTTCACTTTAGGCACTCCATTTTTGGGCATAGAATTCACCTCACAATCGAGTGAATCTTTTGGGAGTAAGTGTGATTTCTCAACATCAACGACACATGAATCAACGATGTTCACATTAAAACAGTCAAGAACACAAGCAACTTTTTTACTTGGCTCGCGTATATTGAACTCGATCTTATCGTCGCCGATTTCAAGGATGAGCGTACCCTTCTTCACATTTATGACAGCTCCTGCAGTAGCTAGAAATGGTCTCCCGAGAATGATAGGAACTCGGGCATCTTCTTCCATATCCAAGACAACAAAGTCTCCTGAAATATAGTATTTATCGATCTTCACAGGAACATCTTCAAGAATGCCGATTGGGTATTTGACAGAGCGATCAGCCAATTGTAGCGCCATGGTTGTCGGTTTTGGATCACCCATGTGTAGCTTTTGACACAGAGAGTATGGAATCAAGCTAACACTTGCACCAAGATCACAAAGAGCTTTGTTTACTTTAGATCCTCCAATGTAGCATGGAATTGAGAAACTTCCAGGATCACGTAGTTTTGGTGTGATCTTATTTTGGATAATGGCACTGCACTCTTGACTCATGGCCACCATGAGAGGATTTTTCTTCTTCTTTGTTAAGATCTCCTTAAGAAATTTGGCATATGAAGGAATTTCGGTGATGGCATCAAGCAAAGGAATAGAGATATCCAATTGCTTGATACGGTTCAAGAACTTGGTTCTTCGTTCCTCAATATGTGATTTCTTGAGTCGGTTTGGAAAAGGAATTGGTGGAGCATATTTCCTTACCAAACCTTGTTCTTCTTTTTTCTTTCCTTCTTTGATCTGGATGGATTCTGGCAGCATTTCAGCAGCATCTCCTTTGACTTTGTTCTGAGCTTCTTCTTTGGCATCCTCTCCTCTTTCTTCTTCGAGATCACTACTCGGAAGAGATGGAGATTGAATTTGTTTCCCATTCCGAGTAATGATAGCATTCATTTGCTCTCTTGGATTCTCAGGACAAGCTGGCAATTTCCTAGTCACCTTTGTTGATGATGTTGATGCTTGACTAGAGATTTGACTTTCAAGCATCCTATTGTGAGCTCGAAGTTGAGTAAGCTCTTCAGAAATCTTCTTCAAAGTTTCGGCTTGGGCTAGTTGAGATTTGAGTAGCTGATCAACAATGTTATCCAAGCCGGGAGCTGATGTTGTTTCAGGAGTTGGTAGGATCGGCTTTTGTTGATTAGAAACATAGGGGAAGCTTTGGTTTTGCTTAAATTGTTGATTGTTAGCAAAACCTTGGCCACCTCTAAATTGTTGTTGCTGTTGATATTGAAAGCCGGGTGGTGAACTCCGATAAGCTTGTGGATTGGCAGCTCCACTAGGATTGCTCCAAGAGAAACCAGGATGATTTCTGTTTTGAGAACTAAATCCACCAAATGGATTTTGTTGTTGTTGCGGCCGGTTGTAGTTTACATAATCAACTTGCTCCATTGCATCCCATGGACATGAAGATTGATCATGTTGTCCACCACAGGATACACACATGAGAACAGGAACAGGAGGCGGTGCTGGCGTAGTGTTTTGCACAGCAGAGACTTGAGCAATCTTTTGGATCATGCTCATCATGCTATCGACCTTAGCAGCCATGGCCGACATTTGATCAACTTCGTACATGCCTCCAATTTT